TGACATTTGAGCAAAGAAGTGAGGGAGATAACTGGGGGTAGAGCTCTCTTGGAAGAAGGAACAGCAAATGCTAAGGCAGCGGTTCTCAACCTGTGGGTCGTGACCCCTTTGGCGGTCGAACGACCCTTTCACAGGGGTCACCTAAGACCATCCTGCATATCAGATATTTACATTACGATTCATAACAGTAGCAACATTACAGTTATGAAGTAGCAAAGAAAATAATTTTATGGTTGGGTCACAACATGAGGAACTGTATTTAAAGGGCCAGAAGGTTGAGCAGCAAATGCTAAGGTCTGGAGATACAGAAACACACTTGAAGCACTAGAACAGGTGTGGGGAACGGTGGGCCCGCAGGGGTATATACCAGAGAAATCATTTGGTCTGGCCTGCAAGCAACTGCAGGCTGGACTCGAAATTCAATAAATCTAGGAGCTTTTTTCATAGCACATGAATTTATATTAAGTGATTATATTTAGCAAATGATGTCATAAATATTCAAATGGCCCTTGGCAGAAAATAGGTTCCCCATCCCTGCACCAGAACAGGAAAAAGGCCACTATGCTTGGAAAAGACTGAGCAAGAGTGAGAGTGGTAAGATTAGATATGAGGGGAAGCAAAAAGAAAAACAACAGGGAGGTAAGAGCCTGTAAGGATTCAGAAAGAGGAGACACCATCAGAAGAGTTTGAACAGAGTAATATGATCTAACATATTTCAAAAGGCACTTTGGCTGCTGTGTTGAGAATAAACTGACAGTGGGAAGAAAAGAGGTCTGAATGGCAATAATCTTGCTCATATGATAGTGGCTTGAACAAAGTGATAGATGGTAGTGAAGGTGTGAGAAGTGATGGAATTCTGGATACCTATATTCTGAATATAGAACAGCCAAACATAGCCAAAGCTAGGACAGTAATTAAGGTGAGAGATGATGGGAGTCTGCAGTAGGATTAAAGTAATGACAAAAAAGAAAATGAATCAGAGTAAATTTCAGAGTGAGAATTAAAAGGACTTGCTGGTAGATTGTGTATTTAAAGTAAGAAAAAAGAGAAAGGATTACTTTTAGGTTTTTGGTTTCAGCAACTGAATGGATGCTAGCATAGACACATGAAAAGTTCTGTACTGGTCATGTTAAATTGATGATGTGGCATTCCCATGCAAACATCGAATAAGCATTTGGATATCTGAGTCTATTGAATTCTAGGAAGATGCCAGGGCTAGAAATAACAGATAAAAGAGTTAGTAATTCATGGATGACAGTTATAGCCAGGGACTAGGTGAGGTTACCTAGAGAGAAAATGTGTAACAGTGAAAGGGAAAACAAACTAAGACTGCAGTGGAAGGAAGACCACACCAATATTTAGAAGACAGGCAGAGAAGCAGCCAGGAAAGGAAAGTGAAAATTTTCCCTAAAACTGTTGAGGTATGAAAGGAGAAATATAATAGTCTAGACAGAAAAAGAGTTGAGTAAATGGGTTACTGCAGTCTCTGATTACAGACACACTTTCAATATGTTTTATGGCAAAAGGAAGTAAAGAACTAGGATGGTAGCTACATAGGAAACAGGGTCATGGGAGGTACTTTTAAGACAGGTGATACTAAAATCTGTTTGTATGCTCATGAAATGATCCAGTTAAGGAGGTGAAATTGATAATGCAGGAGAAGAGAATAATGGTAAGAATACAAAGTTAGTTGGAACAAGGGCATTCATTCATAGTAACAGAAGTGAAAGAATGAATATGAGTACCAAAGCAGGTAGTACGTAGATTTGTTGGTGAGAAATAAAGAATTTCTATCTTATTGCTTTTATTTTCTCAAAAAGGCTACTTAAATGAGCTAACTTAAGTAGTAAATATAGGGATAGTTGATTTTCATATTTATTATACACCTACTAGTATGCAAGTATTATTCAATTCTTGTTTATATTTGGTAACATTTTACATTCTTCAGTTACAAGATAAAGTATGCTTATCAACATTTTTTAACATTGACACTAATATCTTTGTTCAACTACTTTATTCTTCAGAATCAAAAAAGTTACATATTTGTAGCTCTTAAAGGAATGTACTTTATAAGTTAATAGTTTAACTATCAAATTACTTAAATATGAGAATTATTTAAAACAGATAATATGTAAGCTTATTATAATGGCTATCTATTGTTTTGTACCAGCAGTTCTTCTCGGAACTGGTAACAGCCCCTTCCATGACTTCTTTTGGGGAAACTGCTATTCCATATATGAAGTTTGGAGGGAAAGTTCTCTTTAATCACAAGCTTTAAATTCTATCCCAGGCAATCAGCAGCCCTATCCCCCAGAATATATATGAACCCAGAGGCTAAGGTCAACATACAGGTAAGAATTAAACAAAAGTCTAGAAGGAACGTGAGAGACAGAGGAAGGTAAAGACATAGAAAAAGAGTAAAACAAAGGAGTGGTGGCAGAAAGAAAAAAGGACCAGCAAGGGTGAGGCAAAGAAAGGAAGTCTCCCCATGTTGTTTTGAGTCCATGAAACCAAGTAGCCCAGAGGCCAGCCCTACCTCTACCTTTCTGGTTATACTTTCTCCCTTTTTTCACTTACGTGAGTTTGAGATGGATATCTGTCATCTGCAACGAAGAGTTAGATGGATAAACATTATGACCAGTGTGAGTAAAAATTACCTAGTGAATAAAGAGCCTATAACAAATGAATAAACAGGGACTTTCCTCTCCATGCTTAAGGGAAGAAAAGCACAGAGTATGTCCAGACCCATTTCCATATATACATTGCCAGCCAACCCAATGATCCATCTAAAGGGAGCCTCAAAATATTTGTGTGTATCCACATGTATCTGCATATTCCAGTGGAGGGTGAAGTGGAAGACAGTGACTATGTGAAAAGTTGGGTTGGTAGATCTTACACGTTGAACTGTTTTTCCCATAAAAATAAGTGTTGAAGTCCTAACCCCAATACCTCGGAATGTGACCTTTTGTAGAAATAGGGTCGTTACAGATATACTTAGTTAACTTCAGATAAGGTCATACTGGAGTAGGGTGAGTCCCTAATCCCCTATGACAGGTGACCTTATAAGAAGACAGCCATGTAAACATGGAGACACACAGGGAAAATGTCATGTGACAATGAATGCAGGGATTTGTTAAGTATCAACAAGCCAAGGAAGACCAAAGATTTCCAGCAAACCACCAGACACTAGGTAGAGGCAAGGAAGAAGTCTCCTACAAATTTCAGAGGGTGCGTGGCTTTGACAAAAGCTTGATTTTGGACTTCTGGAGTCTAAAGCTATAAGAATAAATTTCTGTTGCTTGAAGCCACCTAGTGTATGGTACACTTAGGAAAACCCTAGGAAACTAATACAGTAGGTTAGAATAGAGATGGCTATGTGCACGGAATAACTTTAAGGTTTAACGAGACTGTTTTATATTAGTACCCACCAGCAACATCCCTCTACACTGAGAATAAATATTACTCATTCAGTATTTAATAAGAACACAGGCGTTAGAGCTGGGTTTGAGTTCTGTCATTTATTAGCTATGTGATCTTGTATCCTCATCTTTAAATGGATATAAAAAGAGCCCCTTCTAGGGTTGCTGTGAGGATTAAAATAGCTGACACATGTATAGCACTTAGACTAGTACCTGGCATATAGTAAGAGCTATTTTAACTGTGATTATTATCATTATGAACAACATTCATGTTTAAATGAAAGTCTGTGTTCACTAGAGTAAAATTGATCATCTGAAGATAAGATAATTTCTCAAAATAATATCCAAATATAATCAATTATAGCAGCTTTATTAACTAACAAAAATGATTATTCAATACTGTAAAGTTTTACAGTGATAAGCCTAGAAGGCCCAGTATATTTTTTTAATTTCAGAAACTCTGAACTAAACTTCTTTTTTTTAAAATATATTTTTATTGATTTCAGAGAGAGGAAGGGAGAGGGAGAGATATGGAAACATCAATGATGAGAGAGAATCATTGATCGGCCGCCTCCTGCATGCCCCGTACTGGGGATCAAGCCTGCAAACTGGGCATGTGCCCTGACTGGGAATCAAACCTGGGACCCCTCAGTCCACAGGCTGACGCTCCATCCACTGAGCCAAACCGGCCAGGACTAAACTTCTTTATATGAGAAAATCAAATATATATATATATATATATATATATATATATATATATATAATCTCAAATGTTAAGCTTATTTGAATTGGAATATATTTATAAAATAGTTTCTTTATAAAATTTCATATACGTATATACAAAATTAAATTGAAATGAAAGATTTCTAGAAAAATTATCAGCACACTATTTTAACTGTGCCAGACTTTTCATTTCTAACATAGTTCTATAACCTCTGCAGTTTAGAATAATAAAAATCCATTATTCTTGGATGACTCTACACTTCAATTAAAATACTTTTCATAATCTTTCCTTAACATAGTTTTTCTAAAATTTATTGCACAAATGGAAACATGATATAGTTTATTATTTCCAAATGAGTAACCAATTTTAATTCTACAGGTAAGATGATCTGAAAGACTTTAAAAATGTATTGAACAGTTTGTTTATAATCTGAAAGATATATAAATTTTCATTTTTTGTTTTTTAGACAGAACTAAAATAACTCATTTAGAAGGCTTCTTTTCCTAAGCCTATGGTATCTATATGTTTTACTTTGTCTAAAATCAAACATTTGATTCCCTGCTTTAAATTACCAATCTTGGACAAATGTCTAAATGTCTACTGTGCTTTCATAAGAAAACAAGTTTAAAAACTTAACTACATATAGGATGTCCATTATGCATTAAACTTGATTCACATTAAATACGGTCAGATCCAACACCGAAATTATTGTTTAAACCAGGTGGAGATTGTAAAATAAGTAGAACTAAGAAAATAATGCCGGTACTCTGCTAAACCAAGGTCAGCAGGAAATCACCTGTAGGTTAAACACAAAAGACTCGGTCAGTGGTCTCATTCTGGAAAAGCACCGCCCTTACCCAGAGTCCTGCATGCGAACAGAGCCATGGCGCTCTGCAGCCTGTCGGGCCTGAGGGCCTGCACCACCAGGACCTGAAAGCAAAGGTCAGGGCATTTTAAGTAATAAAGTTCCTACAACGGCTTTCCTAACTAAACAACAGTGAGGTCAATTAATTCAACAAATGTTTACTAAAATATGTGAATGCTTATCACTGTTGTATATTATTTATTATCCCTCAAACTGTCACAATAGGTTTATACTAAGGCCCATCGTTATAGGCAAAATATTACAAAAATCCAGTATTCCCTCAAACCTGTCACCAGAAGTAAACATCAGCAAGTAATGATCATAGGGTTATCTGCTTCTTCGGGATCTAATAACAAAAGGCCAAATGCCCGGTGAAAATAGGGTACTCTCAGTCAGGTACTTCTGACGACAGCAGAACAGAGGCCCAAAAATCTTGCCTAAAGTTTTCAATCACCATTTTTATGCTGAATCATATATACATTTTCTAACAAAGGTGTTTTTTTTTCTTTTTGTATTTTTAAACATATTTGGTAAAATAGAATTCGCCAAGGGGATACAAAAGGGACAGAACCACTTCGAGGAACTGAAAGGGTCACTTCCAGAGTTTCAGCTCCTAAAGAGCTTTCCAATTCTTAGCCTTCACTTCCCCAAAACACTGAGTGGGACCCATCAGCAGGTTTCATCATTCTATTTTAAAATACGTGAAAAAAAATTACCATATTCCTCGCCATGAGATATTTTCCCTAGAACGTGCACAATGAGTAGAGAACCTATAAAACCTACACCTTAATTTCTTTCTGTAAGTGATTTTCTCTGTTGCAAAATCACCCTTGGGTCAGAGTCAGAGGGAGTAAGAAAAGCTACAGTGGGAAACACCACATTAAAAAATGTTGCCAGTGATTTCATTATCCAGATAAGATGGCAAAAGCAGAAAGGCCTTCCCCACATGAGCCATGTTAGGGTGATGTGGCACCCAAAGGCAGAGCTTTCACTTATTTATTTTTATTGAATTTGGCTTCTGAACAAGAGTAATGTTAAATACTTCTATGCATTTAGATAACTTACCTGCTGAAATAAGGAAACTTTCTTTGCAAGAACAGATGGAAACTCTTGCTCACACATTGAATGATGATAATACGTACGCCACAGATCTGCATCTTCAAAGCAGAGGGTCTGGTAAAGACCGGGGAGAGCAATCTGAAAAATAAGAATAACCACAGAGTAAGCTACAAGTCAGCATAAGTACGTATGTACGTGAATTACTAAAAAAAGAAATGGAAAGTAATTATTGATGGATATTTATTACCTGTTTTCTACTTTATGTCAGTTTATCTAATCATTTCTAGGTCAGAAGTAGTATGGTAGACTTATGCAACCCATAATTAAATTACAGAAAATATTTCCAAAAGAGTACTAAATCAATACTTGTAAGTAAATAAAATCTTTATTTTTTCAGTAAAAACATTTGTACCTATCCATCGCACTTTGTGGAGAAAAGAATGCTTTAATTAAAAAAAAGTGTAGTCCTCACCAGTTTTGCTCAGTGGATAGAGCATCAGCCTGTGGACCGAAGGGTCCAGGGTTCGATTCCAGTCAAGGGCACTTTACCTTGGTTACATGCTCCTCCCTGGTCCAGGCCCTGGTCAGGGTGCATGCAGGAGGCAACCAATCAATGTGTTTTTCTCACATTGATGTTTCTCTCTGTATTTCCCTCTCTCTTCCACTCTCTCTAAAATTCAATGGAAAAATATCCACAGGTGAAAATTAAATAAAAATAAATAAATAAATAAATAAATAAAAAGTTAAAAATTTTTTAATTATTCTTTTATATATATATATATATATATATATATATATATATATATATATATTTTAATTGACTTCAGAGAGGAAGGGAGAGGGGGAGAGAGAGAGAGAAACATCAATGATGAGAGAGAATCATTGATCGGCTGACTCCTACACGGCCCCTACTGGTAATCAAGCCCGCAAGCTGGGCATGTGCCCTTGGCCAAAATCGAACCTGGGACCCTTCATTCCACAGGCCGACGCTCTATCCACTGAGCCAAACTGGCTAGGGCAAGTTAAAAACTTTTTAAAACTTTTCTAACAAGTGCAGATTTTTAAATTGAGATATACAGTAATTGACATATACAAGTGCAAATTTTAAGCATTGCCACAAGTAAAAAGTATGTCAAATTTCATTTCAATATAAAAATCCTTAACAAAGCAAATTTTTTAAACTATATTCATTTCTGCCCCTATTCATGAACATGTTGCTTCCTTTGCCTCTAAATGTTCTAAATTTCTACTCAGCATTCAATATTCAGCTTAAACAATATCATCTATCAGAGATTTTTCTCAATGTATTTATTTCCTCTACCTCAAACAGTATTCTCTCTTCCAAACTTTTTCAACAGTGATTTACAAGGTCAGAAATATAAATGTGTATAGATGGGAGAATTTTTTTAAATGGTGAATTTGGAAGATTTATATTAAAATTTCATGTAATATAAACATAAATCAAGCATTTAAGAATGCTTTATCCAAATATCTATATTCATTTCTAAATAATCAGTTATATTGCCTAAACTTCATTATTGTAACTTAACAAAATTAAACTTACACAGCAGAAAATTAACTAAGCATACTTTAATTTTTTCAATAAATGATTTAAGCCTATTAGGATAGAACTTGATGGCTGTCTATTAACTTTACTGGCAATTACTGTATAAGGGCCCACCACCAATTTATGTGTGCTACATGTATAATCATCATGTATTTGGTTAGAAAACTGAGATAGATTATACACAGTTAGCAAGCTCTCAGCTGCATGCTAGACCCCGGGTCTAATTACCAGGGATACAGGCCTACTATGGCATCAACCACATCACAAGGTAATTATTTGTTTTATTCTCTACAGTGTAACTTTATTCAGTGTAGAGTCTTTTTATATTAGAATATTTATTTGTCATTCCACCAGCACTCTGTTAAATAGTAGCAGGTACCAAATAAATGATTAATGAAGAAAACAACCAATGATATAATACAGAATCCATTTATTTTATTCAATAAATATTTATGAAATAAAGGCAGTAAAAAATAGTGGTAGAGCCCAGGCCAGGTGGCTCAGTTGATTGGAGCATAATCCCATACACCAAAAGGTGATGGGTTCAATTCTCAGTCAGGGCACATACCTAGGTTGTGGGTTCAACCCTGGGCCCTAGTTGGAGCACGTACGTGAAGCAACCAACAGATATTTCTCTCTCACATCGATGATTATTCTCTCTCTCTCTCTCTCTCTCTCTCTCTCTCGTCAATGAACATCCTGGGTTGAGGATTTAAAAAAAAAAAGTAGTAAAAAGCTCAGACTCTGCAGCAAAAAGCTCAATTTCAAATACTGAATCTACCTTCTAAATGACCATAAGCAAGTGACTATATCACTTTGTGCCTTGGTGTCCTTATCTGTCTAATGAGGACAATATAGTGTGGCTATCTCATAATATTATGGAATATATTTAGTGAGATGATAATCCATTTTCAAATTCTGCAAAATGCCTTGAACATAATCACCCATAAATGCTAGCTATTCTTATTGTATTTGCTATGTGCTGCTGTACTCTTATAATAATTGTGAAGAACATCAGGGGAAGGAAAGCAAGAATGGGAACATATATATAGATTTTGAGAGAAATGTGTTTTTTATTACCCACAAAAACAACATCTTGGCTTGTAAAGAACACAGATGGAACTGATGGGAGTTGGGCTTTGGAACTTTTTCTTCCCCATGCTGATCCTCACCACCCAAATACACTGAACACTGACTGGGTGGAGGGGAGAGGAAGAGATGAGGAGGGAAGGGAAGGAAGCAGAGAGAGAGAACACTGTATTTGGAAAACCCAGATATTTAAGGCAAGGACTTTGGTGTCAGAATGCCTGAACTAAAATAATTAGCTCCAACACTTCCCAGCTATTTAACTTCCCTGCAGCTTAGCTTCCTCTTTCCTAAAACAGACATAATTACGACCTCCTCATTAGGTTATTGTGATGGTCAAATAAGATAATGCATCTATAGTATTTAACATGATGCTTAGCACATAATAGGTCCTCAAAAACATGTATGAACTTTAAAATAAACCTTAGTTTCATTCATTTAGCACCTTACTACTGCTGATGCTCATTTCTCACCTGTAAAAAGAGTTAATAACCATCTTTTAGGGGTTTTGTGATAATTAAATTAGGTAACTCATTTGAAAATGTTTTGTAAACTGAAATGATAATAAGAAAACACTAATGTATACTATAAACCTTTTCTGAATGTAAAGCTCCCTTTCCTAAATGTTTTACATTTCTTTACTTAAATTGTAACATTTACTTAACTTGTAATCTTTACCAAGTGTAACCTCTCAGTAGATCAACTGTTCAAGCAATAATTACCTGTACCCTGTTGATTATTATTACTTTTGCCATTAGGAGTACATGAGCTAGTTCAAGGTCCTGTCCAAAAATCCAGAATTCCCTTCAAATTCTCACTATTTTTTATTTTTTCCATTTTCTTGTAATTGTTTAAAAAAATGTTTCCTACAGTAGGTGATAAACTTCTACATAGTAGGAACTAAAACTTTTATGTATCTGTACTCTTCATCCTCAAAGAGCATATTATAAATCCTTAATACATATTTTAATCCTGTGGAATACATGAACAATGCAAAATTACCTTATCCATGTGCCATTAGCTTGTCTACTCATAATCTTAATATGTCCAATCTAAAAAGTATTTTAAAAAATTTAACCATGAATCTGGTATATAGTCAGTATCTACTAAATAAACAAAAGAATAAATGACTTGGGTTTTGTACTAAAGTCAGGGAAATAAAGTTTAATAAGGCAAAGATCCTAATCTCAAAGATCCTAGGAGAAAGGCAGATATGACAAATCATTTTGTATCATTATGGTAGGTGCTATGATATGGGAATGTTCAAGATACCATATCAGTATATGTCAATAGAAAAGATACAATGGAGAAACTGGGTAAAAGTCACAGAGGAAGTAATGCTTTGAGTAAGTTCTAAAAAATAAATAGACATTCCACAGTAAAAACAGTCAAAGGGCATTTCTGGGAGAGGGAATAATAAAACTAGCAAATATAAGAAACACTGAAGATATGGACTGGAAGTAAAACTGAAGAGGCAAGTAAAGATTAGACTGTGTATCATCTTATATGTTACCCAAGAAAACTATGGGTTTTATCCTATGAGTGATGAGAAACCATTAGAGGGTTTTAAATAGGGCACTAACCATACCATAAATAAACTAAAACACAAAGGACAGACTAAAATGGAGAGGTCTGAGATTAGAAGCAGGGTCTAATTGCTAAATCAAGTTGAATAATGACAGCCAAAATTAAACGTGACTGCAAGCATGGAGAAGAAGTGAGGATGAGAGATATATAAAAGATGAATAGAAGTGAAAGTGTTAATTTCAAACTATTTTCAACATAAGTACTATACAGCATCTCATTACCGATCCTGAATTATTGTATATACTAGAGGCCCGGTGCACAAAAATTTGTGCACTCAGGGGGGTCCCTCAACCCAGCCTATGCCCTCTCACAGTCTGGGACCCCTTGGAGTATGTCCACCTGCTAGCTTAGGCCCGCTCCCTGTGGGATCGGGCCCAAGCTGGCAGTCAGACATCCCTCTGGTAGCCCGGCAGCCCTTGGGGGATGTCCACTTGCCAGCGGGGAGCAGGCCTAAGCTGCAGTTGGACATCCTTAGCGCTGCTGAGGAGGCGGGAGAGGCTCCCACCACCACCGCTGTACTGGCAGCCATCAGCCTGGCTTGTGGCTGAGCAGAGCTCTCCCTGTGGGAGCATACTGACCACCAGGGGGCAGCTCCTGCATTGAGCGTCTGCCCCCTGGTGGTCAGTGTGTGTCATAGTGACCAGTCATTCTGCTGTTAGGGTCAGTTTGCATATTACCCTTTTATTATATAGGACTAGAGGCCCAGTGCACGAATTCATGCACAGGTGGGGCCCTCGGCCTGACCAGCAATTGGGGCCAATAGGGGCCATCTTGCTCAGTCCCGATCAGGGCGGCCAGGCCTGGGAGAGGAACCACGGGAGGTTGGCCAGCTGGGGGAGGGAGGTTGGCCGGCTGCAGGAGGTTGGCTGTGGGAGCGGACTGAACACCAGGGGGCAGCTCCTGCATTGAGCATCTGCCTCCTTGTTGTCAGTGCACATCACAGCAACAGGTCCACCAGTTGAGGTCGTTCAGTCATAATGGTTGCTTAGGTCCATGTTTGGCAAACCGCAGCTTGCAAGCCACATGCGGCTCTTTGGCCCCTTCAGTGTGGCCACGAAGTTTCAATCGCACTGTATGTGCACACCCGCACATGGTATTTTGTGGAAGAGCCATACTCAAGGGGCCGCAGTTTGCCGACCACTGGCTTAGGCTTTTACCTAGCATATTAGGGAACCTTATATTTATTTATCCTTATAGTCTCTATGGGTATACAGCATAGAACCTTGTGCAATGTAAAGACTCAAGATGTATATGTTGAATGAAAAATGTAATTAATTGTTTAATAATGGGTTAAAGAATTAGAATAATTCTTTGATATTCTTTTACCCAGAGATTTTTGTCATATTCACAGAAATATCAATATTGACTATGAATAAGTAGCAAATAAAATATACACAGAAATAACTCCAATATAAAAAAATTTAAATATTCCACATAGTAGAAAATAAATACCTTCAATGTTGCCACTGCCCAGCTTCTTTCCTGATCTACCCAAGATGGAAGCTGATCACGTATTCTTTGTTGAGAGTCCTTTAATAAGAGTAATTATTTTCCTTGGTATATTAAAATTCAGGCAAAAAAATTCAACAACTAACTTAAGTTTATAAACACAATTTTTTAACAGTTCATTCTATGTATTATTTCTTTATTTTACATATTTTACAAGTCAATATTGTAAAATTCTATACTAGGTATAGATAACCATTTAAACAAATGTGTCAATGTAAGAACAATCCAAACCTATAAGATTTTTTATGATTGTATTTAAGCCAAACTGAGGACAACAGCCTGGATGCAAAATCTCAACGAACTGAGAAAATGCTCCAGAGAATGGCAGTCTGCAGTTTATTTTACACATTAGAATCAAAGGAGGAAACCTAGGGAGAGTTACATGACGTTCACTGGTGATAGACTAGGGAGGTGGGAGAAAGCAAAGCAGGGCAATCTCTGAGATTGGATAAAGAGTAAAACAGAGAGACACACACTTCCTTCACATCGGTAGGCACAGGACCGTTAGCAGCTAACATTTACAGCACACGGAGAGGAGCTCTGTGGTCTCCTGCTCTGGTGGGAGAGTGTGCACTGAGGGGTCTGGAAAAAGGGGGATTACTCTGACAAGAGTTATCTTAGATGCAAAAAGACAATAGACAGGCTCAGTTAAGGTAAAAATTGACTTTTGTAAAGGAAGATACTGGCCTAGGACATGACTACCCACCATGACTTGCTTTTAGTTAGGAAGTTTTAATTTCAGAGCATCCTATGTGGTTACTTTAGATCTCTGAGTTTGTAAGGCCTGCCATTCAGTTTGGCTTAAATAAAATCATAAAATCCTGAGCTGGTCAGGTTTAGTATGTGGCCTCTTTTTTATGCACAGTTGCATTCATTTTCTTTGTGCTTAATCCTCTGTAAAACTTTAGAAAAAACTCAAAAGTAATAAGAAACTGGCATAATATGTTACTTTTATCACATCTTACATTTCAGATATAAGCTAGGTTTTGCATTACGGTTTAGGTATGTTCCTTTGAAGAATAATACTATCCATTACATGTTCAAACAGAAAATTACTAGTCAAAAATCTGAATTTGAATAAAGTTAACAAAAGTTTTTAAAAGTAATTTTTAAACTTTAGTTATATATAAAAAATTTTCTAGTCATAATACAGGATTTGATTTTCTTTGGATTATATAAATAGTCTTGGAATAAAACATATGTACTGAAGAAAAGAAACTACATTGATTTCTTAGTAATTAATATTATTCTTAAAAAAATTTGTCTTCAAGGACAAAAAAATATATTTAGGTCCATCTATAGAAGGATAATAGAGACAAGGTCATAATCCTCTAATTAAAGTAATTACAACAGTAATTTAAAACTGCTTTGAAGCAGATTATATTTCATGAAGTCTAAGCCAGAACAATTTTCCCTAACAGTAGAATAATTTTATTATTTTTTACTTACAGCTTTCCGCAGCATGTCTCCAACAACCACACCTGTAAACGTATCCCATTCCTATTGAATAAAAATATGAGGAAAACAAAAAACATAAAAATGCTAACCAATTAACAAAATTTTCTTAATAACCCTGTAAGATGGCTTACAATGCAGCTAAGGACATGTAAAACAAAAGCAAAAACAAAAAAAAAAAACTTTCACATCTTCACATTTCTAGTACAATACTAACATTATGAATATTGATATATTAATATGAAATCTAGAAATAATTTTATTAAAACAAAAAACTATATTATATATGAGTCTCAATATCTAAAAATGTAAATCTCATGTTCAATGAGCATTTGTCACTACCTATTATTTTTCCTGTTATAGGCCATTTCTCACTAATAAATCAGCAATAAGGTGCAACAAAAGTTTAAATATTGTGTATGTTGGGAAAAAATAGAAAAAAGTTCTTCTGTTAACTTATCTTTTCCAACAGATAGGGAGAAGACTGCCATATTCCTTTTTTTTTTAAATCCTCATAATCAAAACTCACCAGCTGTTAAGATATCAAGTGCTCTAAGAAAATCTGTCTTCACCCTGGGTTCCCCCAATCAGATAATAATGGGGCACTACCATATTTGTTACACATTGGTCAGTAAATAAAGCCAAAACGTATTAAAATTTGAAAGCAATATGGAAACACTACCAAACTAACATTCTCCCTGCCTTCACCCACCCGGCTCACTCTTCTTCCTAACATTTTGCAATGTGAGTCAAAGAAAAATGTTCTCCTTTCCCAGAGATAATTTACTCACACTGCAGAAGAAAAAAATAGGTAATGTTAAGTCTTACAAAGTGTGGAACATATTGATCACAGTGAAAAACATTAACAGCAGGAGATTAAGGCATCAGAGTTACTAGTAGAAATAAAAGGAGTCAAGTTAATAAATTCAAGAGAAATATGTAAGTCAGAGCATGTGGAGGTAGAGAGAAACAAAGATCAAACATAGGCCTGCAACTTTTAACTACTTTAATGAGGGAAACGCAGAACATAATTAAAATCTGGTCAAATAGAATTAAAGGTTATTAGGTCAAGGTTGCCTTGTCCCTCCCTAACTAATGGACTCTCACTGTATGATTATGGCATAATGAAAAAATGCAAATTTTTTAAAATATTAGAAGCACACAGGGTAGATTAGTTAACTCTAGCTTGAAGGAGGTTCTTTTCAAGTTTGAGAGGTGATTATATGGCAGTCCAGAAATGAAGTCATAGACAAAGAAAATAAATTATACATTAAAACATTAAAATAAACCTGCAGGCGCAAGGGAGCTGCCCACCCTTTGATTCCCACCTGTGTCTCTGAGCAAGTCAGTAAAGATAATAAATAATGTAGTATACCCGTATCCTTTTGTTTTTTATATTTATCAGTTCCACTGCTTAGACCAGGAATATGAGAAGGCTAACTCTTCTGGTGTCCTGAGTAAGTGGACGTGGGTTCAGAAAAATCTATGCAGTGTGGGTAAGTTACTTATATTTCTTTTTCTGCCTTATCATCACTTCAGAATATTGGGCCCCCTCAGAGGGGAGTAGAACTTTTAGCACCTTACACTAAATTTCTAACTTAGTAAAAAAATTAATAGGTTGACATATAATTTCTACCCTAAAGTAATTTCTATTCTATCTGTACGTTACCAAACTCCTATGTAACTATAATATTTCCTCCTTCACCATTCACTTACATTTTCTTGAAAATGTTCAGGATGCATGCCCCGGACAAAATGCAATGCGAACATCAACTGATCAGCCTGAAAGGAATAACAGATGTTATCTTGCTTTTTCTAAATTAGTGGTTTTGGAAAAGCAGTCCTTAAATTTTGGTTCCAAAATATGTATTCTGTCTTCAAAATATTTTTATCAATATAAGAATAACATTTACATAGAACAACACTTCCAAGTTGGGGGTGGAGAGGATAAAGTGTGAAAATTTTTAAAGTGCTAAGGATTAATCATCATTTACATCTCATTAAAAATAAAACAGATCGAACAGACTGTCAAACTACAGCGGGAAGGCCGGGGAGGGTTGGGGGGCAGGAGGGGAGGGTGGGTAAGAGATCAACCGAGGACTTGTATGCATGCATATAAGCATAACCAATGGACATAAGACACTGGGGGGTAGGGGAGGGCCAGGGGATTGTCAAGGGCGGTAAAAAAAAGGAGACATATGTAATATTCTGTGTAATACTTTAAACAATAAAACAATTTTAAAAAAAGAAAAGAAAAGAAAAAAGGAAAAAAATAAATAAAACAGATTTATTTAGCTAGTAGAAATCCAATTGTGATGTCTGAATTAGTCTTTACTAACCAGATCATTTGTAAACCTCTCATTCTTGCATTAGTAACCTTCAATCTGTGATTGTGTATGTTTAAATGCTCCTGAATAATCTATATACTGCTAAATCAAGATATTTTATTCCTAGAAATGCATGCAAAGGGATCATGAAAGTACTCCTAGGTAAGCAATAAGAATATTCACTGCAGCCTAGCCAGTGTTGCAGTGGTTGGGCATTTACCTATGAACCAGAAGGTTATGGTTCAATTCCCAGTCAGGGCACATGCCTGGGTTGCAGGCTCCATTCCCAGTAGGGGGTGTGTGGGAGGCAACTGATCAATGATTCTCTTTCATCATTGATATTTCTATCTCTCTTTCCCTCTCCTTTCCTCTTTGAAATCAATAAAAATATATTTTAATAAAAAAGAATATTCATTGCAAGATTGTTTACAGTGGAGGAAGAACTGAAACAACTTAAATGTTCAAAAGACTATCATGAAAATATTCAAATCAAAATAGCATAACCCATATTGTGGAAAGAGGGGGAGTTTGTTAATAAACATATATAAATATACTGGAGGCCTGGTGCACAAAATTTGGGGGTCCTTCAACCCAGCCTGCACCCTCTCACAATCCAGGATCCCTCTCACAATCCGGGACTGCTGGCTCCTAACCACTGGCCAGCCTGCCTGCCCAATTGCCCCTAAACACTTGCCTGCCTGCCTGATCACCCCTAACCACGCTGCCTGCCTGATCACCCCTAATGCTCACCTGCCTGCCTACCTGATCGCCCCTAACCACTCATCTGCCTGCCTGCCTGATCGCCCCTAACCCCTCTGTCTGCCTGATCACTCCTAACTGCTCACCTGCCTGCCTACCTGATCGCCCCTAACCATTCATCTGCCTGCCTGATCACCTCTAACCACTCGCCTGCCTACCTGATCACCCCTAACCACTCGTCTGCCTGCCTGCCTGATCGCCCCTAACCCCTGTCTGCCTGATCGCCCCTAACTGCTGGCCTGCCTGCCTGATTGCCCCTAACCACTCACCTGCCTGCCTGATCGCCCCTAACCCCTCTGCCTGCCTGCCTGATCACCCCTAACTGCTAGCCTGCTTGCCTTATCACCCCTAACCACTCTGCCTGCCTACCTCATCACCCCTAACTGTTCACCTGCCTGCCTGATTGCCCCTAACCACTCTGCCTTCCTGCCTGATCGCCCCTAACCACTCGCCTGCCTGATCATCCCTAATTGCTGGTCTGCCTGCCTGATCGCCCCTACCTGCTCGCCTGCCAGCCTGATCACCCCTAACTGCCTCTGCCTCAGCCCTGCTGCTGCAGCTTCCTCCAAAAGGACATCCGGAAGTCATTCAGCTGTCCAATCTAATTAGCATATTATGCTTTTATTATTATAGATATCTGCAAAAATTTTGGAAAAATAGATATCAAATTTTTATCACTGATTTATTTTTGAGATTATAGCCTATTTTTATTTTCTTCTATTTTCTTAGGTGTTTATACTTTTAAACTTCCTAAAATAAGCTTATATCATTTCTGTAAAAAAAAACAACACACAAAACAGGAAATATTTGTTTTTAAAAAAACCATCTATTGAAGCACCATCTTTCAAAGTTTTAATCTAAACATTTTATTTGGCCTTTCCCATACTGTAAATAATACTTTATATCTAATATATGTTTATGATTATAAATATAGATATAGATAAATATAAAAGTATTAAGATACAGTATAGACAAAAAAAGAGCCTCCTGTAAATACTGCCAGTAAGTGATCTCCTTGCCTGCAAGAAAATCACCCCTCTGTAGAAAAGATAGAATGTCTTGAATAATACAATACAAAAGAATTATTTTATAAAAGTATATGTTGTATATGCTTGTATATACATAGCAATACTCACTAGATATCTATTAAGCAAGTAAATAAAAAACAAACATATTTACAATAGTGAGTCAGTGAGTAAAAAATATCCTCAAAATAAAAACTGGAAGCAGATGGCCATCAATCAGGTGTGCAAGAAAAAAAAAGTTACAACCAACTACCATCTGCATGAAGTAGCTACCATTTGACAGAAAATATTATAAAAAGCAAGGGAGATGGATAGTGTTCTTAGATATTAGAAGATCAATGATTAGCTGGATAAGCCACTATGATGCTTATTTTATAAATTAATGGATACTTAAAATGATTATAATAGCACCCTTTATCTAAAGTAAAAAAATAATGATTAAGATAATATATATTACTTTGAAGCCTTGATCACTTAATAATATAGTTAATTCTTTTATATATATACACAAATTCACACACAGTATAAGAGGACAATGAATTAGCCCTTTCTTCCTTTGAACTGAGGAAAAATAATGTAGTCTCTAGTATTAATGGAAAGAAGGCAAGGCTCTGGCACTCGGTGATTCTCTGATTATCTATCAGAGTTGGTGAGCTAATTGTTGATGATTACTGAGGCCAAACTCCAAAATGCTGTCAAAAACAAGCATGTAATATGTAGTCAATAAATGGGTAATGGTGGTTACCCTTCTCTTTGATTTTTGGTCACAGAAGACACCTGACCTCAGGGAAAAAAACTTCTATTAGTATCTCACCAAACCTTCTTTGTATACCATTTCAGATCTTAGATAACACTTCCATGAAGAAAGGGAAATAGTAAGAATATATGCTTTACCCACCTTCCTTCTGACCTTTTGGTATTCTAGCCCAATATAGTTGTAAATTATCTAACAATCCAACAACTTCCATGATAAATTTGGATGCAGAAATGTTAAAGGTACTAACTCATGAACAGTTTTATTATAATCATAAATTTTGTGAAACTAAATATGCTACTTATCCCATAATCATGTAAAATATTTAGGTTACTAAAATAAACACTTTTGATCTCTTTAAGAAAAGAAAAAGTAAGTCAGCCAAAAATCTAAACTGTATTTGCTAGACAGCTTTCCATATTTGGTTTACTTTATTAAAGTCTAAAATTTCTGCTACAAAACAAGTCAATCATTTTCTATTCCACGTCAAGTTGCTTTCACTTCAGTGTGATGTGAATACTAACAACCAGCCTCCCTCCAGTTCGGAGTCATGGCTGCCATACTGCTGTCACCAACACAGCAGCAAAATCAGCATGGAGGAAACTCTGGCAGCCGGTTTAATGTGCTGCTGAGGCTAAAACCCAAACAGCTTTCACTCAACTATGAGATCAGTTCTATCCTAAGTAATATTATACTGTTAAGTCTTAGAAATATACCTTATTGCTTTACAATTACTGTGCTTTCTGAATTTTATTCTCCACTGAAACTCTACAGACTGCTCAATTCATGCTTAATAAGTTTAATAATGCTAATAAAAATGTGAGTTTTATAAAACATTCCATCATCAATTAAAAACATGTCTTAAGAATTATAAACCATAGCTTTTTTAAAAAGTGGGTTTCGCTGTTCACAATAGAGAAGTATTAATATAGGCAATGAAAAATTCCAATTAAGTACTAAAAATGTTAAGAATGTTAAAACTTACAAACTCACTCCAATTGCATCCAAATGTTGAGTTTATCCTAACAAACATATTTTTAAAAGTTAAAGTAACTTCAAAGAAATAACCCCCAGTACACTTGATTAGTATCGTAAAATTCAGGGGTGGGGAACGTCTGGCCCATGGGCCAGATAAGGCCTGCAAAATCATTTGGTCTAGCCCTGCCAAGGCATTAGGGGTGAGTTAATTAAATGTTTGACCAAATATATGAAGACTTGTGAATAATGTTATAAATATCCAAATGGCCCTTGGTAGAAAAAAGGTTCCCCACCCCTGTGTCTTAAATCATTTTGATACTGAATGCTTATTATAGTGATGGCGAACCTATGACACACAAACTCATTTTTTGGTTGATTTTTCTTTGTTAAATGGCATTTAAACATGTAAAATAAATGTCAAAAATATGTCTTTGTTTTACTATGGTTGCAAATATCAAAAAATTTCTATATGTGACACAGCACCAAGTTAGGGTTTTTCAAAATGCTGACACGCTGAGCTCAAAAGGTTCGCCATCACTGGCTTATTATATCCGGAATACTTATATTATTAAAAATAAAATAAGAATATATAAACTGATATAGAAATACATAGATTAGAAACAAACAAGAAACTCCTAATAAGTTACTAAAATTTTTATTTAACTGGGGTCCAAAACTATGTTATTAATAAAGAATTACGAAACACCTTTCAAAAAAAAGCTACTAATTTTTGGAATAAATAAAAATATTATATTATCTTTTGGCTTAAAAATTTTTTCAAGAATAATATTTATTTATAACATATCTACTTTTAAAACATATTTGGGGGCACCTTAAGATAACGGTAGCTCCATAGTATTTTCATAAATCACAGCCTATCTTAGTGCAGAGGTCTTAACAAGCATTAAATATATTATTAGGAGAGTGACCAAAATGAAACTTTGCAGTCTTAATATGTTCACTAGAAAATAAAAAAGATTAAAGCTACACTAAAAAGCTATCATACAATTCAATAATATAGACATGAAAAAATAAATCCAATGATTAAAAAATAAATTATAAAAACAATAATTACAACAAAGTAGACTTGTTCTATAAAGCAAAGTTTATTCTTCAAAATGCCAGGATAAAACACAAATATGGCAGACAAAAATGGCAAATTATAGAGAACTTTAAATATAAGATATTTGTAAGACAAAAATGGCAAATAATAGAGAATTTCAAATTTATTTATAAATTGCAACTTGGTAAAAATTAAAAAGATGGTTAATATGCAGGATTGATTAGGACACAGGGAAGGAGAGAGCCTCCTTACTCTGTGGAGGAGAGAATTAATTGGTAAACTTTTAGAAGGCAATTTGATATCATTCAACAAAATTTCAAAAGTGTATATCCTTGGACCAGAAATTACACTTTCACCGAGAAATCTGAACAGAAATACCAGCTTACACATGTATATAAAGATGAATATACTGCACAGGATTTCACTGTCATTCATAATTTCAAAAAATAATCTAATATCCACCAATAAAGCATTAGTTACATGAAGTAGCATATAACCATATTAGGAAATACCACAGAGTCACTAAATATATTGAGGTTGACATATTTATGCTTATGGGAAGATCTTCAGGACCTACTGCAACAAAAGATGCAATACAACAGAATATATAGTAAAGAAAATAAAAAAACTTTATGTATTTGCACTTTGAAGGATTTATTCTCTGTCTCACGTAAAGATCCTCAACAATATCATTCTAATCATTAAAATTAATATCCCTTTCCAAAGAATATATTAACTATATCTTTTTCCAGATTTTCTAAGAAGCCTATATAATTGGCCCACAATAACTCTATTTTTCACTTAGCTGTCCTTACAAAGTTCTTCTTCAACATATCAAGCTATATGCAAAGACTGATATTTTTTTAAATTTCTAAATGAAAAGCCCTTGTGTTTTTTATAATATTCAAAATATCTAAAATGTTTCAATGTATAATCCTCTGGGGACCTTATAATATGAAGACTTCTGTGACAAATTTCTCTCAACTCAGAGTCAAGCATTAGTTGACTTCCTAATACCAGGAATAGGAGACAATTTTGTCCCTAGCCCAAAAGACATTTGGCAATGTCCAGAAATATTTTTTATTATAACAATAGAAGCAAAGGAAGTGCTACTGGCATGAGTTGGTAGAGGCCAGAGAATGCGGCTAAATATCCTAAAGTGCACAAAACAGTCCCCAACAAACAATACTGTTGCTCAAAATGTCAATATCGCTGAGTCTAAGAAACCCCAGCTAGAAAATGACCTACATAATTCATCCTAGTTTCCTCCTTCAGTGGCTACTGGAATTCCAGGAACTAAGTCAGCTAACCAGTGTTTCCTCTGCCTTCTTCACTTGTCACTTTTCTCCCTACTTATCCAAAAGGCTGCAAGACATTCTCGATAGTAATGAATATTATTCTGGAAAAATGTCGGAAATGCCAATCGCATAACCTTCCTTGTAGGCAAACAGTTATATAATTTAACTGTAATACTCTATTAAATCAAGGGTCAGTAGTATTTTATAAGTGAAAAACATAACATTTCTTACCTTAAATAGACAACGGCACACATATTCATATACCATCTGTTTTAATGAGCTGACCAGAGATTGGATTCGCTGTTCTGTGTTTTCAGAATCCTGTAGATTAAAATTTGAAAACTGAAAATTTTTGAAAATTTATGAAGATTTAAAAGGTACTCCCATAGTTTAATCACACTTATAAATTATCCCTCCAGAGTCAAAGCTGATTCTGGAACAACAATTAACTTTGGCAATCAAACTTAAAGGACTAAACAACTAAGTGCATTAAACTTGTATACTAATACAATAAAAATTGGTATCTTTTTCTTCAATGTATAGAAACCAGAGATCCAAAATGGTGTCACTTATGCTAAAACCTATGACACCAAGTCTTGATTTAATACCCGACCTAACTGCAGTTATGACCTTTACCAGAAATGTAATCTTAACCAACCAGGGTACAGTTTTCTTTTGGTCAAACACCAGCAAGGTAATCTGTCACGCAGGCATAATTTCTTCCACACCCCACAAAGGAAGGAGAGGCGATCTGCATGTAAAAGTCCTGCCATGTCCTGGACTAAAAGATCCTTTCTTTCCTTTTCCTAATAGAGTCCTTGCCCCCCCACCCTTCTTCCTATAAAAACTTTTCATTTTGTACAACCCATCAGAGTGCCCTTCTACGTGCTAGATGGGATGTTTCCAATTCATGAATCACTTACTAAAGCCAATTAGATCTTCAAATTTACTCAGTTGAATTTTTTTGACAGTTAAAACTTCTAATAAACGAAAATTACAATCAGTTATCAATAATACAATATGAATTAGTTTTGCCATACCACTTTGATTCCCTACTGGAATTAAAAATACATCAGTCTGTGTTAAAACCATCTCATTATTTATATTATCATTTACCAATCCAGCCCCAACAAGTATGACCAGACCCACCCTATAAAGAGTTTTCTCATCCTATATAATAAAAGGCCAGCCACCATAAGCATAATAACTGGAATGACCAGAGACCAGAACCACCATGGCCCCTCGCAGGCTGGCCCCGCCCCCAAGCAAGCGGTTAGAGCAATCAGGCAGACAGGCAGAGTGGTTAGGGGTGACCAGGTAAGCAGGTCAGTGGTTAGGGGCAGATGGCCCCTCGCAGGGCTGGCCCCACCCCCCAGTAAAGAAAGAGGGAGGCCCAGGCCACCTGGCGGCAACTCTGTGGCAGGTGTGTGGACGGCCAGCAATCGCCCTGCAGAGGGAGGTCCAGGCCAACCAAGCCATCTCACCCCATGCCTGTTGCCTGCAGAGGGAGGCCACCGGTGGTGGTGGGTGGGGGAGAAGTGCTGCACAGATGGCAAGCAGTGGCAGTGGCGGAGGTGGGGCCAGCTGCCTGCAGCCAGGAGAAGGAAAGCCTCGATAGGCCCTGATCTCAGGCCAGGCATAGGGACCCTACCCGAGGGGTCCTGGATTATGAGAGAGTGCAGGCCAGGCTGAGGGATGCGCCTCCCCAAGTGCATGAATTTTCATGTACTGGGCCTCTAGTCTCAATATAAGAACCTAAACTATCTTAAACCTTGCCCTCCAGATTGAATAGAATGAGCAATAACTTTGATATTGGTGCTGCAAAAATTCATACACACCTTTAGTGCAGTGGTTCTCAACCTTCTGGCCCTTTAAACACACTGTTTGCGGGTTGTTTTTATCGCGCGCTAACAGGTGGCGTGGGCCATTTTTTCTAATTTTTTGCGCAAATGGCAACGTTCAGTAAAATTATGATAACTTTAGCTTACACATTTATACATTACCCGCATTCTACCGCTAGTCTATAAAAAACATATTAATACGTGTCCCGCGCTCTACTACACTGGTAGAACGTATAAATACGTTTCCCGCATACAATGTGTAAATACAGTTCCTCATGTTGTGACCCAACCATAAAATTATTTTTGTTGCTACTTCATAACTGTAATGTTGCTACTGTTATGAATCGTAATGTAAATATCTGATATGCAGGATGGTCTTAGGCAAACCCTGTGAAAGGGTCGTTCGACCGCCAAAGGGGTCGCGACCCACAGGTTGAGAACCGCTGCTTTAGTGGTTTCATTTGCTTCTGTAATTCCATTGTACATGATTGCCATGATTTGAAAAAAATGACATTAATGGCTATTTCCTTTGATTCATGAAAAATGGCTTGGGGTAGAAATGGGGGGAGGAGATTGTGAAGGCTAGTCTTTTTCCTAAGTGTGATATGATTTTTATATCTCTCTTCAGGGAGCACTTAAATAATGTATAGACTATGTTTGTTTTTTTCCTATATAATTATAATTGACAAGAAAAAACAAACTAATAAAATAATTTTATCAGTAGAGAAACACTCCCAGAATAAGCAATGTAATGTATGAAATTGGTAGAAAACATCATGAACTGGCATTCAGATATGGGAAACCTAGGTTTCCGGCCTCTCTGGTAGCATGTTCTAACTGAGAGAGCTCATCTTCATTTCACTATTTATTACCAAAGATCACATGTGAAACTGAAATCTGGATCCACTAAAAGATACTCTATTGTGAGACAGACTACCATGCAGACAAGAGCCAATGGATTTTCAAAACATTGGAAAGTAAGGTTTTTATTTTACATATTTAAGTATGTGGGTGCGAAGAGATCAACCTAAGATCTTGTCTGCATATATGCATAGCCCATGGGCACAGATAATAGGGTCGTGAAGGCTTGGGGAGTGGGGTACAGGGCGGGCTAGAAGAGGTCAAAGGGGGGGGGTGACATATGTAATACTGTCAATAATAAAAATTTAAAAAAAATAATTGGTAAAAAAAAATGAATAATATGTGCCAAAACAGAAAAACAAATATATAAGACAGAAATGCTTATCTTGTCTGCCATGACTGAGTAGACAGTTTTGCTAACAAAACATACCCCAAAGCACTAGCTCTTCATTGGGTGCCATTTATTTCAATTTTGAATATAACAGCAACTTCAAATGACATACATAGGGGGAAAAATCAGTAAAAAGTTAATCTTTTATAATCAAATAAAGATTTTCTGTATTAATTAGCCATGCTAATGAAGATAAGAATTTTTGTCCTGTTTCGCTCTCTGGTTATATTATATAACCCAACACCAAGAGTAATGTCTGATACATAGTGAGTCTGCAATAAATATTAATATAATAAATAATAATCTTTCCTTGGAAAAATAGATTTATGTAAACCTACTTTAATATAACATTTTGTTCCCGAATTTAATTTAAAAAACAATTATTCTTGCCCCCAAAATAACTTAAGAAACACCCATATTAGTATTACACCAAAAACAAGAACTATGAAGATTAAATTTTTTCATAAAAATATATTTTTAAAAGTGGTATGTATCTTACAAGTGATTTTTATCTTATAAATTATCAAAGAATTCCAAATACAATACCATATTTTCAATTACCTAATAGGACAATTATACAAAGATATATAATATCCATTGTTGGTAAAGGTATAGATGGAATAAAGCACTCTTTGCGTCAGTGTAAGATATCGATAGCAGATATTTTCAAAGGATAATTAGGCAATATTTGTGCAAGGCTTACAAAAGTGCATTTTTGCCCCATTAAACTAAGAAAAATAATAGGAGAAGCGAAACACGAAAAAACAAAATAACAATACAAAAACTTATGTTTGTAGCTGTTTTAAAATATAAACCTCCAATCTTTTGACACTCCTTTCATCAAGAGGTAAAGTCTGTTTCCTCATCCCCTTGAATCTGGGTAAGCATGTGACTACTTCAACTAATATCATTCAGCAGAAATGACAATGACACAGGGCTGGGTTGTAAAAGGCAAATTAGCTTCCACTTTGCTCACTGGAACACACGTGTTTGGCGCTCTAAGATGTAACATGGGGATTGCATTGAATCTACAGATTGCTTTGGGTAGTATGGACATTTTAATGATTTTGATTCTATAATCCAAGAACATAGTATATTCTTCCATTTGCATATATCTTCCTCTGTCTTTTTTTGATGTCCTGTAGTTTTCTGAGTACAGGTCTTTTACCTCCATAGTTAAGTTTATTCCTAGGTATCTTAATTTTTTTGTTGCATTGGTAAATTGGATTGTTTTTCAGTTTCTCTTTCTGTGAGTTTATTATTGGTATTTAAAAATGCCAAAGATTTCTGGGTGTTAATTTTTTATCCTGCTACTTTGTCAAACTGATTTATTAAATCTAGTACTTTTTTGATTGAGTCGTTAGGGTTTTTTATGTACAATATCACGTCATCTGCGAATAATGCGTTTTACTTCTTTTCCAGTTTGGATACCTTTCATTTCTTCTTTTTGTTGGATCGCTATGGCTAGCACTTCTAATACTATGTTGAACAGGAGTGGTGAAAGTGGGCATCCTTGTCTTGTTCCTGTTCTTGTTCCTGGTTTTAGTATTTGCCTATTGAATATGATATTGGCTATAGGGTTTGTCATATAAGGCTTTTATGTTGAAGGATTGACCCCTTTTTATTCCCATTATTGCTGGAGAGTTTTTTATCAAAAAAAGGGGTGTTGGATTTGTTAATGCTTTTTCTGC